GCCCTTTGTAATAAAATAAGCCGTCGCACTTTTTAAGAACACTTGTTGCACTTTGTAATAAACTTGAAATGCATGGTCGGAGGACAAGTAAACCCAATAATAAGTATCATCACATCCTCAACAACAACAACAACAATAACAATAATAATAGTTTGCTTTTATTGTTATTGAGGATGTTTTATGATGATGATGATGATGATTATTTATATCAAAGCTGCTCATAAATAATGTACTCTTTATTTCTTATATCTAGGCATAATTTGATTGACACAATGACGTAATTTGATGTCATTATGAAGTCATGTTGTTGAACGTCCTTAGTTCGACGTCTGACCCAACAGACGATCTTAACTTAATTCCGGTCGACCCCAGCAAATTAAAGTTTGGTACATCTCATGAAAAGTTCGACGTTTGGCCTAGGCCTAGGCCCAAGTGTTCTTAAAACGTTTCGTATACATTACATTCAGTGAATCAGCTATTGCTCCAATAAAATCTTTTGTATGACTTATCTTCAGTTCCAAATACCAAGTCATGTTATAGTATTTGATCATTAATTTTTGTCAAAAAAACTCCAATTGGAGCTAAGTGCATGAACAAAGATAGACGCCTTTATTTAAAACTTGTAATAGTTGACACTACAGCTGCCCCCGCTCTGTATATTGTCGGTCAATAGCATTCTTGCTCGTTGTGTAGCTCTTTGAAATATACCGATCCATAACGAAGATTTTCACACATATTCCATACAGCCGTGAGGTTTTTGGTTTTGCCGTGAGGTATTTTGTTTTTGCCGTGAGGTTTTTGGTTTTGGCGTGAGGTATTTTGCTTTTGCCCTGAGGTTTTTGGTTTTGCCGTGACTGTTGTGGGCCACCATAGAGGAGGAATCGTGGTGAAAGAAGTTCTTGCAATCACTTTATTGAACATTTTGCCTCACTCAAGGTTCGTACAGTATCTTCAATTGAAATATTGCAATACAGAGTTTATTGTAAGGCAGTAGATTGGACTAATTTAAGCTTATTCTGTCGGCGCTCAGCTCTATGATACAGTTATTTAATACCCCATTTCTCCCATCGCAAATTAATGACATTCATTCGTTTCGAAATCGAGTTAATTCTGTAGATAAAATCTTATTGCTTTATCCTTTCAATGTAAGCTTTGCGTCAGTACTTCGCTTTTCAGCTCTAAGGCTTTACATAGTGAACCAGTCTTTCTCGGCATCATGATTTTACTGAGTGTCATATTAGTCGTCCTTCTTGATCCGGATTTTTTGGCGTCAGTAAGACTTTCACGAGTGCTGCTACGTCAAGGGCATCGGACTTATCCTAGATTTTTGCCTGTGTTTTCTTTAACATTTACGTGTTGTTGACAGTATGCTTTTTTTTGTGCTTATTTGAGTTTGTAGCCTCAACAGTGCATTCCATAGGCGGTGAATAGCGAAGGTACTTAAATCCTCCTTAAATCCGTGTTACATTTTTTTTGACAGTCCGTCTACCGCCCAATATTTTCCATATGTTAATCCGTGTATACATAAAATTACTTGAAAACTGGTTGTAGCATAATTTTTATACAACGGGGTGTTGGTGATGTTTGCTAACGTCCATTTTTCAGGAGACTCAACTTTCTACTACTGTCCGTACAGGAATCGAAAGTGAACTTGCATCATGAATGCAAAACAAAAATGTAACCGAACATTTCTCCCCTGAATATTATTACTCTGAGTCAATACGCACAACTTCAGTAAAATAAGTTTACTGTGCTTTTTTCACGCTTGTCTACTTTCTTTATTGCGACTTTCCTGTCATTTTAATCGCTGAGTATGTTGCTGCATTCAGTTATTTCATTAACAACAACAACAGATTTTGAATGGAAAAGCTTCAAGCCGAATGGAATGTAGACTGTACCAGCCGTTTTTCTATTTGTTATGACTTTATTAGAAGTACCTGACATTGTTTAGCAATAATATGTGTATTAACTGGGCCTAGTATCTAAAATCTCAAGGCACTTAATCGGGAAACTCAACTTCGCATCGCATTAACTCGAAAAGTTGAAAATTTTAAAAGAAGCTTGAAAGTCTTAAAGAAAAAAGATCGCTTATGTATTGTGTGAAGTGCTACCAATAGGTCAGACTGAAACTTATACTTGCCGGTTTATTTGTGGATTGGCACCGTAGTTAATTTGAAAATTAGGTTTTTCTTTCACGTAGTCCTCCACTGTAAGGACAAACCAAAATATTAGAGAGCTGTCCCACGTAGCATAGAGGTCGCCACAGTGACATCACATAAAATTTAGGGCCATTCCATTTGTCAGAACTGGCCAGCTGGACCTTGGCCGGACCAATCAGTTTGAAAGTGAAATAGGCTTTTTCCAACAGTTTTTGCTGAAACGTTCTCCTTCGTGCATACTATTTAGGATTTGACTGATCTGGCTGGAGAGTTTCGATTAAAAGGGAAATTATCATTGCGATGGAAATGGTCTGGCCTGTCAGTTCTGACAAATGGAAACCGCTCTTAGACTCCACTGGCAATTGCACCTTTCATTTGTAATTGTTACTGTAAAGCCAAGACCATCCTCGGAGACCCAGGGGCAGCTAGTCGGGACGATAGAATGTTCATTTTGTTTAACTGCTTGTCTCGATCTTACTGTAATCTTTCACCACGAGCATTCTGTCGTCCTGACTAGCTGCCCCTGGGTGTCCTATGATGGGCTGTTCTGTCGCACTTTGTAATACCTGTCGCACTTTGTAAAAACACTTGTCGCACTTTGTAAAAAAAAGCTGTCGCACTTTGAAATAACAGACCATCGCCCTTTGTAATAAAATAAGCCGTCGCACTTTTTAAGAACACTTGTTGCACTTTGTAATAAACTTGAAATGCATGGTCGGAGGACAAGTAAACCCAATAATAAGTATCATCACATCCTCAACAACAACAACAACAATAACAATAATAATAGTTTGCTTTTATTGTTATTGAGGATGTTTTATGATGATGATGATGATGATTATTTATATCAAAGCTGCTCATAAATAATGTACTCTTTATTTCTTATATCTAGGCATAATTTGATTGACACAATGACGTAATTTGATGTCATTATGAAGTCATGTTGTTGAACGTCCTTAGTTCGACGTCTGACCCAACAGACGATCTTAACTTAATTCCGGTCGACCCCAGCAAATTAAAGTTTGGTACATCTCATGAAAAGTTCGACGTTTGGCCTAGGCCTAGGCCCAAGTGTTCTTAAAACGTTTCGTATACATTACATTCAGTGAATCAGCTATTGCTCCAATAAAATCTTTTGTATGACTTATCTTCAGTTCCAAATACCAAGTCATGTTATAGTATTTGATCATTAATTTTTGTCAAAAAAACTCCAATTGGAGCTAAGTGCATGAACAAAGATAGACGCCTTTATTTAAAACTTGTAATAGTTGACACTACAGCTGCCCCCGCTCTGTATATTGTCGGTCAATAGCATTCTTGCTCGTTGTGTAGCTCTTTGAAATATACCGATCCATAACGAAGATTTTCACACATATTCCATACCATAGGAAGATTTTCACACATATTCCATACAATAGGTGTATGAGGTAAATACAGGAAATGCAAGGTTCCATGTACAGTTTCAGTTCGATTTACACGGCTTTGATCAAACAATCTCAATTTCGAGAATAGTTTATTCTAAACCATAAGAAAAAATTTAATTAGAAGTTGAATTTTTCGCTATTTCTCTTTCACTTTTTACATTCAGTTCATTTCATTTGCCGGAAAGGAAGCCTTAGAAATTAAAAGGACGTTTGATCAATTCACAATCGCGCATTCTAGTCTTATTTTAAACATATAGCGGAAAGACATCTGTGAGCAGGGAATAAGTCAGCACAGAATTTGATTGTCGGCGAATTTCTATAATCGTCCATCGTTCTGCTAGTGAGAAGCTAGCCGTTGTTCACTCGTCTTGATTGTTTGGGGCTGAGTCTTATTCCGGTCAAAGACAGAGAAAGAGTGTCTGGCAAGCCTTCCAATGAAAGATTTGTGCACTCGTGTCTGGCAAAGTTATACGCGACTTATAACTTCTTCTGGGCTTAACGAGTGTCGTTAAAATTTTGGTCCGTAACTTTCACTGAAACAACTGCTCCACAGAATGTCATTGATAACGCGTAACGCAAAAGAGTGTCGAAGTATGACTGCACAATACACGTCACAAAATCTACCTAAGCGATCCCTTGGGGATGTTCTGTCTTTACGTCATCTCAACCATTTCGTACTTGCGGGCGCAAAACAGTAGAAACGTCATCATTACCTACCGATTCCTCGCGGCCCCTGTTCAAGCAAATCGAGATTTTTTCTATATTGACCGTATGACTGTATATTTCAACTGTAAGTACTTTCCTTAATATACGCGCGAGTTACTAGAGTGCCTCCTCGGGATTTCGCCTTCTGGGCGAAATCCCTGCGGGGGCAATAATAAAAAAAAAAAAAATAAAATATATACAAGGTAATATAACAAATGAACTAATAACAAAATCTTTCAATATTATGGACATTTACAATACTTCCATGGTAATAAAAGGATCTCTTGGCCACTTCTGTTCTTATAGCAGGAACATGCAAGAGATTGCTCTGGCGGGTTGAACGAGTACAAATGTCCTTGTTAAAAACAAAGTAGTTCTTAAAACACTGAGGGCACCGACCATGTGTACATTTCCTTAAAAGTTTTAGGATGTGTTCATTGCGCCTGCCGGACCTAAGACTTGGCCACTTCAAAGCTTTCATCGCAGTGTCACTACTAGATGTTTTAATTACAATTCTTCCAACGCGCTTCTGCAGAGTTTCTAGAGTTCCACTGTTTACTTCCCCACAGATCCCCCAGACCCCAGCACAGTACTCTAAAATGGGTCTAATCATAGATAAAAAAATGGCATTTGCACTTTGTGTGGTGATATAACAGCGAACACGTCCTAATAGAGCGACCCGCCTGCCAGCTTTCGACACAAGTTCTTTAACATGTTCGTTCCAGCTGAGCTGTTCATCAAAGATGACACCCAGGTACTTAAACTCAGTAACACGCTTTATAGCAGACCCATTAAACCTGACTGAAAACTGATCTACCTTAGCAAGCCTTTGCGATGTCCCGAAAAGCATTGTCTCAGTAAACATTGCGAACCAACATTGATGTTTGCATAACAAAACAATTTGCTGTACTGGTGTTATAAATGGTTTCTCTGTGAGACTAAGCGAAGTCCAGGGGGGACGAAAGAAAAACTGCCAACGACAATCATGTCGATGGCACTTACGAGCTAAGACAGCAATGAACCTTTTAAAGAGGGTCAACAAAAATGCGACCAATTTGAGAGGTGGCTTTTTTCTCTTTTTTTATCTTTTCGAAAACGTTTTGACTATTTATGTTTTATAGAAAATGGCATCCAAGGGACTGGGGTGTTCGATCTGTATTGAAGGTTACAATGACAAAGAGAAATGTCCTCGAATGCTGAGTTGTGGACACAGCTTCTGCTCGCGTTGCTTGGAAAGGTTACTCCGTGGTAACACTATTGATTGTCCTAAATGCAGAAATCCAGTTGCCGTTCCTTCTGGGGTCCATGGCCTGTTAAAGAATTTTGCGTTACTGGACATCGTGAACGAAACAGCACCCAAACAACATGCTGAAAATTTAGGTTATACAGGCACGCACGAATGTGAGGCTTGTGATGAGAAACACCCATCGATGTTCTTTTGCTTGGACTGCGAAGAAAACATGTGCAAAGCTGCGGCTCAGATTCATAAACGCAGCAAATTAAGTCGCGACCACCGGATTCTTACCTTCAACGAACTGAAAGCAAACCCTCAGCTGGCTTCTGTATCGGTTCTCTGTCCGGAGCATAACGATCCATTCCGCTTTTTCGACGAAAATTGTGGTCATGTTATTTGTAGAGACTGTTATGCCCTTAATCATAACGGGCACAAGTGTGTAATTGTAGCTGAAGCTGCTTCAAAATACCGACGAGAGATGGAGGCGCTTGTAAGCAAAGCCAGCTTTCAAGCCGAAAAGATTTATGCTGCTGAAGGTGGAGTNCATCCAAGGGACTGGGGTGTTCGATCTGTATTGAAGGTTACAATGACAAAGAGAAATGTCCTCGAATGCTGAGTTGTGGACACAGCTTCTGCTCGCGTTGCTTGGAAAGGTTACTCCGTGGTAACACTATTGATTGTCCTAAATGCAGAAATCCAGTTGCCGTTCCTTCTGGGGTCCATGGCCTGTTAAAGAATTTTGCGTTACTGGACATCGTGAACGAAACAGCACCCAAACAACATGCTGAAAATTTAGGTTATACAGGCACGCACGAATGTGAGGCTTGTGATGAGAAACACCCATCGATGTTCTTTTGCTTGGACTGCGAAGAAAACATGTGCAAAGCTGCGGCTCAGATTCATAAACGCAGCAAATTAAGTCGCGACCACCGGATTCTTACCTTCAACGAACTGAAAGCAAACCCTCAGCTGGCTTCTGTATCGGTTCTCTGTCCGGAGCATAACGATCCATTCCGCTTTTTCGACGAAAATTGTGGTCATGTTATTTGTAGAGACTGTTATGCCCTTAATCATAACGGGCACAAGTGTGTAATTGTAGCTGAAGCTGCTTCAAAATACCGACGAGAGATGGAGGCGCTTGTAAGCAAAGCCAGCTTTCAAGCCGAAAAGATTTATGCTGCTGAAGGTGGAGTGATGGATGAACTTTTTTCATGGAGGTAGCTTGCGAAGAACAGCGTGAAAAAATTCAAGGCTTTTTTAGAGAGGTATAGCATATCTTTGTTTTTGGGGTGGATGACATTTACGCTGCAAGAAGTATTCCTTACCACTTACGAGTTACGATCCGAATTTTCTATTGCTGATTAATAGTTTCTGCTAACAATTAGATAAAGAAACATGATAATCTCAACGTGGAATGCAGAAACCAGTGATTTGTTGATACCTATCCCGAAGGCCAATGATTTAGATGTTTAAGGGTACGCCGCTCCCGGATCATGATTGTTGAACGTATTCACTGAACTCACCTCGTAGCTAGCCTAACACACAGACGTAAGCCCTAAGAACTTCCGCGTTAAAGGCGTCTTCATAGCCTGCGTGCAAACGTCTCCAATGTCCTTTGCACACAGACTACGCACGTCGGGACGCAGCTATCAACCGTTTTTTATCTGGATTCTAAGTCCGGGATAGATCTGCGGATATTATAGAGCTAGTGTGTGTTTTCTTTTTTTTATATTTATAGCTTCAATCCGCACTATCTAACCGAGAGCAAGTTTTGATGGATAAGTTGTCCAGTATACGTCGACAAACAAAGTCCATCCTCACGGAGCAGCTCGACCGTTTGGAAGTAAACCAAGCATTTTTAAAGAGCACAGTTCAACGAGCAAAGTCCTCCATCCAATCTCTGAGTGATGTTCAGTTCCTTCTCAGCAGGCCGGATATAGTCTCCACCCTCGAGACCGAAAAATGCTACTCAATAGTGCTTCAGCCAGAGGCACAGTTTATGACAGAGTTCACCAAGAGCGAAGAGGAAAGAATGGTGAGAATTCAAATTTTGATTTTAGTTATCCATGAATTAGCCTGCGACCCAGAGTAAAGGTTTTGTTCGAGCGCCATTCTTTTCTCCGGGATGAATATTCTAGCAGATATTCTTTACATAGCAGTTGCCATCTACCCTGGTCCCGGACGTTTTTCTGGAAAATTTTCTCTGCGTAAGAGAAAGCGAACTGTGCAAAGTGGCGATCTGGGACCAGGGTAGTTGTCATTTGTCGAGTAGTATATGTTCATTTCCGTGTGAAATTTTCCACCATTATTCTCCAGCTGTATCAATAGAGCCTGAGCTGAGCTAACACAACCTCTTCCCCAGGCGTCACAGTTGTCTACCTATTTCTGCAGTTATCCTGTACCATTAACGCCTTTTTTTGCGATATCCCAAACGTCATCCAAATTTGGTCAACGCTAACTAGTTTTGAAGAATTTGCCGAGGATTTAAGCCAATCAGAAACGGAGAAATATTAATCTCTTTTTACAATATAGTGGATGCAACGCCCGTTGTCTGTGTCGCAGTCACTCCACAGTCCACACTGCCTGTTTATAGTCTTGCTACAAGTCGACCTCACAAGTCTCTTAGCGAGCGAAGTCGCGAGAAGTCTAAGCCTGTATAGACTATGTGGGAAACTGGGACTCAGTTAGCCTCCCCGCAGACGTCCGTAGGGGTTCGTTTGTGTGGGGGGAGAAATGAATGCGTGACAAACGAACCGCTACGGACGTCTGCGGGGATGCTAGGACTCAGTATCACGTGTTTTCGTTTGGGGAAAATCCCACTACCCACGAGCTTTTCCCTTGCTCGAAGATTCTGAGTTTTTTTCAGATGTTGTCTCTGCTTGTTATTCTGAGAAGCTGCATTGCTAGTCTGAAGGTTTTGAATTATGATCTTGAGGATCGCCTAAAGAAAGTCTATGATTGTGTCCGTTTTATTCAGACTATACCAATGGTGTGGGCCATCATTGCGCACAGTCGTTGCCCACGATCGATTACAGTACAGACACACCAAAATGCATTTCTAAGTTCACAAATATATTTCTCGACGAACTCATCCATAAGTTGCGTAAAGTGTGGTTTTCGCATAGTCAATTTTATTTTATAAAACTGCGAAGAAACAGAATATTAAGTGAAAGATGACTACGTGTGCCAAGTAAATCGTTTTTTAGTAAATGAGCTTTTCAAAATTGAAGTTGTAAAAAATATGAAATAGGCAAGGACTCACTGCAACGATATCGATCTCTTTCAGTCATTTTCTCACCATCCCAACAAGAGTATTGAGGAAGCTATTCAGAGCGCAGGAGACATCAGTGACATATCAACCTGTGCAGCAAACACTACTGCAACTGGCCCGGGAATAACAACCGCAAACCCTGGAAGGACGGCTATATTTACTATTACTTCTCACGACAGCCGAAACTTTCAACGCAAGCGTGGTGGCGACGTTTTTGTGGTGAAACTGAAACCAGAGAAGGGAGGAGATGAAATAAATGTAGAGTTAAACGACCGAAAGGATGGAACTTACTTGGCAGAATATACTGTCGACAAGATGTATGGTAAATTGACATTGTCCGTGTGCTTGCGAGGTGCACACATTAAAGGCAGCCCTTTTGCCGTAAATGTTAAACCTCTTCGTCATGTGACGAGCCAAAGTCGATGGCCTGAATTCATGCATAAACGTGACTGTTAGTTTTAACGCTGCGCTAGGGACCACGAGAAGAAGATAGAAAAGGCCTTGCTCGCTTTCTCCTTCCTGTCATTTTAATATGACGAGAGGGTATCCGGAAACAAGGCAGGTTAGACCTTTTATGCAGGCGGCGCAACACGCAAAAAGAGAATTGTTGAATACAAGCCCCTTGTTCAAGTCATAAAAGTGTTGATTTACGTAATGCAACTCATACCAGTGGTACACGATGTGAGAAACAGTTTTCTATTTGTGCGATTGGTTCATGTGATAAATTTCGGTGAAATAATATTTGCGTTCGACGAAGGAGAACGCCTACTCTTCGTGTACCTTACACGAAGTAGTAACCGTTCTGTATGCCATGCGATTTCACGGTTTGGACGCCATCTTAGACCGGCCTGGCACACTTTACCTCGATCTCATGGGTTCAGTTTTTCTCGCCCGGGAGCTGGTATCCATTTTGTGACACTCGTTCACAGATGAAACGTTGGCGATTTTCTGTTTACCACAGGTCTGCTTAAAGTTTTTCTCGCAGTTTTCAATTAAGTTTTTTTATCATAGGAAAATTTCCATTCTAAGATAATCGTATATGTAGATATTATGTTAACAATGCGTTGTGCACACTGTATTTGTTTTTATGGATTCAAGCAAGATCAGCTTAGACCATATTTGATTCTATTACAAATTACACCTTTTCGCTTTTAAAAGCTATTTACAGTGTTGTATTTGCTCTTGTTTCTCACCATTTTTGAAAAATATACAAGAAGTTGAACAGTGAAACGTTGACCTTTTCATCTCACTAATTCCGGGTGCGTTGTATTTTGAAAACAGTGCTAAGTAGGTGAGTCGTGTTAGCCTAGTGTCACACAACAAAGGTTTAAAGTGATACGCGACGCTAAAACTTTTCAGATAATTTCAATTTTCTGTATCCCAATTTTTATCCAGTTTTAATAAACATCCTATAGTGCATTTTAGAGGAAAAATGAAATAGTAACGAATTGTAAAGTGGGAGGACAAACAATAACACTGATAAAGACAGCTGCTGATATTCATATTGATAAAAGTGTTTGATTTTGATTTCTCGATATTACAAGCCCATTAGGCTTTGCACCCCCTTCTCACTACCACTCACAACCCACCACCCTCCCCATCCCCATTGAACGCACTCCCCTAATTTGCAATTATTACTAGTTTAAACTGAGTATTCCCAAGAGAGAATGATCTATCTTGGTTTAATGAGCAAAAAAGCAACTCTGCACTTGCGTCACGCTTTTTTGTACACTTTTTTACTGTCCCTGCACAACTACGACGTGAAATTAAATGACCAAATTTTAAGTTTTCTTGAGAACGGGAACGGCGAGGCGATAAATTCTACCATCTCTGTCTGAACTCGGGCGCGGTCCCTTCTCTTCAGCTCCGACCAAAATTCCCTTCTTCTAAGTAACAGGGCGAATTGGGATAATAGCGAAAAAGTTTAAAAGGATGGGAAGTTTATTTTTCAGCGACGTTTTCATGGACGTCGCCCGTTGTTGGATCGTAAGGTGCCTATTGAGTGGCCGAGGGGCGAGGGCTGGAAACCACTGAGACGGAAGTAGAAATTCAGGATTGAAGAGTGATTAAGAGAAGTGAGGACTGGAATTTAGTGTACCAAGCCCTCTCGGCCAACAGCGCCATTAAGTCCGTGCAACAACAACAAGGCGGAAGTGCAGACGGTGGAGAAATATTCGACGAAAAGGTTCTTACACTTACTTTCAGTGAGCCTTTTGCTTTAAAAAAGGTATGTACAACTTCTTTTATTAAAATACTGCAAGGCAAAGTTTATTGTAAGGCCGTAGAGTCGACTATTCAACCTAACTCTGCTATCGCTCTGCCGGATTAGCCCCGACAGGACGTTTCCAAATCCAAAGCGAGTTTAGATCTGTAGATTAAATATTGCTTTATTGTTGAAATGTAAGCTTTACATCAATATTTACGCAACTTTACGGTACTTTTACGTTAGTATTTAGTAAATGGGATCATGATATTTCCTACATTTTCACGCGTTAATAACATTCTTTACGTAGTTAGATGGACCTAGACACGGGAAAGTTCTCAATTCAGTTATTTCATAAACAACAAGAGATTTTGAATCGAAACGCTTCAAGCCACATTGACCATATAAAAAACCACTGGCTTTTCATAATGTACCAGCCTTTTCACTATTTGTGATCACTTTAGTAGAAGTATTACATTGTTTAGCAAAAATATGTGTGCGCATTCCAGGCGCGGATCTCTGGGATAAATACTGACCGATTTCCTAAACGAGCGCCCAAGGCGCAAAATTCTAGAAGGGTCGGGGCGTGGGCTCACCCAGGAATTTTTTTTGTATTTTTACTTCGAAAGTCCCCTTTCCTGGGTTTCCGAGTCATTCAGACAGGATATTGACCAGATTTCAACGTGGAAAGTGTTTTTATTATTAAGAATATATGATTATGAGTGAAATGTCATCGATTTCCGTAAAACGGTGGAAACCGGTGTGGATCCGCGCCTGCATTCTTTCATTGGACGTAACCGGCGTTGTATGCAGTTAGATCAGTAAATCTTAAGTATCACATGACAAACAAACTGAAGCTCAGTCTTAAAGAAAAAAGATCGCTTGTGTATTGTGTGAAGCGCTACCAATTATGCAATAGGTCTGCAGACTGAAACTTACACTTGACATGAAGTACTGAGTCAAGCCGCTCTAATACGGACACCGTATAAGGACAGAGCAAAATATTCGAGAGGTGTCCCACGTAGTATAGAGGTCACCACAGTGACATTACTCTTAGGATCCACTGGCAGTTGTACCTTTTATTTGTAATTGTTACTGTGAGGCCTAGACCAAACTTCGAACTTTACATGAGACGAACTAAACCTAGCCGAGTTAAGTTTTGAAAAGTTCGACCTCTGGCTTATTTAAGTTCGGATCGTCCAACACGTTGTTCTATCCGTCTGAAGATCGTTTTCGGGACAAACGTCGATCTTTCACATGGGACGAACTAAACTAATAAACTCCTAAAAAATTAAAGACTTGTTTAGCCTCGTTCTGGAGAAAATTTGTTGCTGATTTGATTGATTCGACGCGTCCTAAGTTCGACGTCCGACCCAACAGACGATCGTAACTTAATTTAGGTCGACTCAAATTAAAGCTTGGTTCATCTCATGGAAAGTTCGACGTTTGGCCTAGGAAAAGTGTTCAAATACACTAGATTTAGTGAATCAGCTATTGCTCCAGTAATTTCTTTTGTATGACTTATCTTCGGAAACATTAATTTTCATCTCTTTGGTCCAAGTCATGTTATAGTATTTGATCATTAATTTTTCAAAACTTCATGAACAAAACGTTGATGTTTGCATAACAAAACAATTTGCTGTACTGATGTTATAAATGGTTTCTCTGTGAGACTAAGCGAANCGGCGAGGCGATAAATTCTACCATCTCTGTCTGAACTCGGGCGCGGTCCCTTCTCTTCAGCTCCGACCAAAATTCCCTTCTTCTAAGTAACAGGGCGAATTGGGATAATAGCGAAAAAGTTTAAAAGGATGGGAAGTTTATTTTTCAGCGACGTTTTCATGGACGTCGCCCGTTGTTGGATCGTAAGGTGCCTATTGAGTGGCCGAGGGGCGAGGGCTGGAAACCACTGAGACGGAAGTAGAAATTCAGGATTGAAGAGTGATTAAGAGAAGTGAGGACTGGAATTTAGTGTACCAAGCCCTCTCGGCCAACAGCGCCATTAAGTCCGTGCAACAACAACAAGGCGGAAGTGCAGACGGTGGAGAAATATTCGACGAAAAGGTTCTTACACTTACTTTCAGTGAGCCTTTTGCTTTAAAAAAGGTATGTACAACTTCTTTTATTAAAATACTGCAAGGCAAAGTTTATTGTAAGGCCGTAGAGTCGACTATTCAACCTAACTCTGCTATCGCTCTGCCGGATTAGCCCCGACAGGACGTTTCCAAATCCAAAGCGAGTTTAGATCTGTAGATTAAATATTGCTTTATTGTTGAAATGTAAGCTTTACATCAATATTTACGCAACTTTACGGTACTTTTACGTTAGTATTTAGTAAATGGGATCATGATATTTCCTACATTTTCACGCGTTAATAACATTCTTTACGTAGTTAGATGGACCTAGACACGGGAAAGTTCTCAATTCAGTTATTTCATAAACAACAAGAGATTTTGAATCGAAACGCTTCAAGCCACATTGACCATATAAAAAACCACTGGCTTTTCATAATGTACCAGCCTTTTCACTATTTGTGATCACTTTAGTAGAAGTATTACATTGTTTAGCAAAAATATGTGTGCGCATTCCAGGCGCGGATCTCTGGGATAAATACTGACCGATTTCCTAAACGAGCGCCCAAGGCGCAAAATTCTAGAAGGGTCGGGGCGTGGGCTCACCCAGGAATTTTTTTTGTATTTTTACTTCGAAAGTCCCCTTTCCTGGGTTTCCGAGTCATTCAGACAGGATATTGACCAGATTTCAACGTGGAAAGTGTTTTTATTATTAAGAATATATGATTATGAGTGAAATGTCATCGATTTCCGTAAAACGGTGGAAACCGGTGTGGATCCGCGCCTGCATTCTTTCATTGGACGTAACCGGCGTTGTATGCAGTTAGATCAGTAAATCTTAAGTATCACATGACAAACAAACTGAAGCTCAGTCTTAAAGAAAAAAGATCGCTTGTGTATTGTGTGAAGCGCTACCAATTATGCAATAGGTCTGCAGACTGAAACTTACACTTGACATGAAGTACTGAGTCAAGCCGCTCTAATACGGACACCGTATAAGGACAGAGCAAAATATTCGAGAGGTGTCCCACGTAGTATAGAGGTCACCACAGTGACATTACTCTTAGGATCCACTGGCAGTTGTACCTTTTATTTGTAATTGTTACTGTGAGGCCTAGACCAAACTTCGAACTTTACATGAGACGAACTAAACCTAGCCGAGTTAAGTTTTGAAAAGTTCGACCTCTGGCTTATTTAAGTTCGGATCGTCCAACACGTTGTTCTATCCGTCTGAAGATCGTTTTCGGGACAAACGTCGATCTTTCACATGGGACGAACTAAACTAATAAACTCCTAAAAAATTAAAGACTTGTTTAGCCTCGTTCTGGAGAAAATTTGTTGCTGATTTGATTGATTCGACGCGTCCTAAGTTCGACGTCCGACCCAACAGACGATCGTAACTTAATTTAGGTCGACTCAAATTAAAGCTTGGTTCATCTCATGGAAAGTTCGACGTTTGGCCTAGGAAAAGTGTTCAAATACACTAGATTTAGTGAATCAGCTATTGCTCCAGTAATTTCTTTTGTATGACTTATCTTCGGAAACATTAATTTTCATCTCTTTGGTCCAAGTCATGTTATAGTATTTGATCATTAATTTTTCAAAACTTCATGAACAAAACGTTGATGTTTGCATAACAAAACAATTTGCTGTACTGATGTTATAAATGGTTTCTCTGTGAGACTAAGCGAAGTCCAGGGGGACGGAAGAAAAACTGCCAACGACACTGACAATCATGTAGATGGCACTTAGGAGCTAAGACAAACCAGCAATGAACGTTAAAAGGGTCAACAAAAATGTGACGAATTTGAGAGATGGCTTTTTTCTCATTTTTTATCTTTTCGAAAATTACTTCTTCATTCCGAAATGTGAAAAAGTTTTGACTATTTATGTTTTATAGACCATGGCATCCAAGGGACCGGAGTGTTCGATCTGTTTGGAAGGTTACAATGACAAAGAGAAATGTCCTCGGATGCTGAGTTGTGGACACAGCTTCTGCTCGCGTTGCTTGGAAAGGTTACTCCGTGGTAACACTATTGATTGTCCCAAATGCAGAAATCCCGTTGCCGTTCCTTCTGGGGTCCATGGTCTGTCAAAGAATTTTGCATTACTGGACATCGTGAACGAAACAGCACCCAAACAACATGCTGGAAATACAAGTCATAGAGGCACGCACAAATGTGAAGTTTGTGATGAAAAAACACCCAGCGGCGTTCATTTGTTTGGACTGCAAAGAAAACATGTGCAAAGCTGCAGCTCAGTTCCATAAACGCAGCAAAACAAGTCGTGACCACCGGGTTGTTTCCCTCGAGGAGCTGAAAGCAAACCGTCAACTGGCTTCTGTATCTGTTCTCTGTCCAGAACATAACGATCAATTTCGCTTTTTTGACAAAGAATGTGGTCGTGTTATTTGTAGGGACTGTTACGCTCTTAATCACAGCGGGCACAAGTGTGTAATTGTAGCTGAAGCTGCTTCAAAGTACCGACAGAAAATGGAGGCGCTTGTCACCAAAGCCAGCTCTCAAGTCGAAAAGATTAAAGCTGCTAAATATCAAGTATTGGCAGAAGTTGATTTTATGGAGGAAGCTCGCGAAGAACGGCGTGCTGAAATTCAAGGCTTTTTTAGAGAAGTAAGTATCTTTGTCATTAGGTCGAAAGATCGAGAAGGAGCAAACAGTATTTCTAAGCACTTACGAGTTATAATCAGCATCTTGCCTGCCTAACAGCCTTTCATGCTGGCAGTTAGATAAAGCTCAGCATTATATATATATCAACTTGGCATACAGAAACCACGATTTGTTAATACTTATCCTTAACTAAGCCGAGCAATGATTAGATATTTAAGGGTAGTTTGCCCCTTGAACATGATTATTGAACCTCGTAGCTACTGCTAGCCTCCCACGCAGACGCAACGCGTGACGAAGCCCCAAAGAACGTCTGCGTTAGAGGCTGCCTCGTAGCATATGTGAAGACGTCTCCTATTTCTCTTTTACGCAGGCCACGCACCTCGGAACGCACCAATCCACCGCTTTTTGTTTTGATTGTTTGTGTGGAATAGATCCGTGGATATTACAAGTAAGCGTTTACTTTTTTATATTTATAGCTTCATTCCGCATTATCTAACCGAGAGCAAGTTTTGATGGATAAGTTGTTCAGTATATGTCAACTCAAGGAATCCATCCTATTGGGGCAGCTTGACTATTTGCAAGTAAGCCAAACATTTTTAGAGGATGCACTCCATCGCGCAAAGTCCTCCATCCAATCACCGAGCGATGTTCAGTTCCTACTCAGCAGGCCGGATATAGTCTCCACGCTCAAGACCGAAAAATGCTACTCAGTGGTGCTTGAGCCAGAGGCGCAGTTTTTACCGGAGTTCACCAAGAAAGAAGAGGAGGGAATGGTGAGAATTCAAATTTTGATTTTAGTTATCCATGAATTAGCCTCGGACCCAGACTAACGGTTTTCTTCCAGCGCCATTCTTTTCTCCTGGATGAATTGTCTAGCAGGTATTCTTTACATAGCAGTGTCACCTACCCTCGTCGCGGACGTTTTTCTTGAAAATTTTCTCTGCGTAAGAGAGAACGAGTTGCGCAAAGCGGCGACCTGGGACCAGGGTAGTTGTCATTTGTCGAGTAGTATATGTTCATTTCCGTGTGAAATTTTCCACCATTATTCTTTAGCTCTACCAATAGAGCCTGAGCTGAGCTAACACAACCTCTTTCCCAGGGGGCCACAGTTGTCTACCTTTTTCTGCAGTTATCCAGCACCATTAACGCCTTTTTTTGAGATACCGCTTACGTCATCCAAATTTGGTCAACGCTAACTAGTTTTGAAAAATTTACCGAGGATTTGGGCCAATCAGAAACGGAGAAATATTAATCTCTTTTTACAATATAGTGGATACAACGCCCGTTGCCTGTGTTGCAGTCACTCCACAGTCCACACCGCCTGTATAGACTATGTGAGAAACTGGGACTCAATATCACGTGTTGTCGTTTTGGGAACATACCACCCCCCACGAGCTTTTCCCTTGCTCGAAGACTCTGAGTTTTTAATGATGTTGTTGTCTCTAACTATTATTCTGACAAGCTGCATTGCTAGTCTGAAGGTTTTGAATTATGATCGTGAAGATCACCTGAAGAAAGTCTACGATTGTGTCTGTTTTATTCAGACTACACCAATGGTGTGGGCCAGCATTGCGCATAGTCGTTGCCCATGATCGATTAGAGTACAGACACACCAAAATACTTTCTTAGTTCACAAATATGTTTCTCTACGAACTCATCCATAAGTTGCTTAAAATATGGTTGTCGCAAAGACAATTTTATTCTATAAAACGGCTAATAAAGGGAAAATCGAGTGAAAGATGACTAAGCGTGCCAAGTAACTCGTTTTTTATTAAATGAGCTTTTCAAAATTGAATTTGTAATGTAACCCCTGTGTAAAATGCAACGATCTTTTTCAGCCTATAAAGTGCCGTTCCAACAAGAGTATAGGGGAGGTTATCCAGAGTGCAGGAGACATCAGTGACATATCAACCTGTGCAGCAAACAGTACTGCAACTGGCCGGGGAATAGCAACTGCAAACCCTAGAAGAAAGGCGACATTCACTATTACTTCTCGCGACAGCCGAAATTTTCAACGCAAGCTCGGTGGTGACGTGTATGAGGCGAAACTGAAGCGAGCTGTGGGAGGAGACGAAATAAAGGTAGATTTAAACGACCGAAATAATGGAACTTATTTGGCAGAATATACTGTCGACAAGTTGTATGGTAAATTGACATTGTCCGTGTGCTTGCGAGGTGCACACATTAAAGGCAGCCCTTTTGTTGTAAATGTTGCACCTCTTCGTAATGTGGAGAAGCCAAATCCATCTTGTGAAGAAATTATGGGAAACTATGGCACCCGTTGTGAGAAAGGGTTTTTCTATTAGGGCGATTGGTTCATGTAATAAATTTCAGTGAAATAATATTTAGTATTTCTTGGTTAAGCTGCATCTTATTTTAATATTTTCCATAACAGGAAACTGGAGAATTGTTGCAGAGAGGGGGGGTTTTCAATTGGTATAACTCGTACAAGTCAAGTAATTTGCAAAACCTCAACAACATCGACACAAAACCGCACACTACACTTGGTTTATTATAACATAGATTGTCAAAACTTACTGTTCTGGGACGGATTGCCAAAACTGTGGAGGTGACTTCACTCTTCTTTCAGAAAACGGCCCTTTTAGGAGCTACCACATAAAGATTAGTAGATGCGATCTAATATCAGACAACCAAAGAACAACATTTAACTATGTAATGAACCCACGGCTTTCTGTTTCGTTTCATCTGACTCTGAGATCTAGGGGCAGTTATTTAAACGAAGTCTAACTTTTAAGAATGCAAATCTTTGGACCCCATATATTTTCCTTAGAGGGTTATTTTAAGAAGATAAATGCTTTTCTAGTCTTCTCTGTATGCCAGTTTCGTATAACAGTTCACAATAAACAGTTTAGATTAAACCGTTGGGCAAATTGAAAATGGCTTATTAGAACGTGGTTTTGTTAAACACTGGCAAAACTACGTTTAAATGACTGGCCCTTAGTGATTAGGGATACAAAACTGAGTGAATCAAGTTCCAAAGGGGAAGTAAAGGGGGAGAAAAAAGCAATCGAAAAAGAGCAAGGGCGGAACTGGTTTGGATCCCCCTCTCCCTTTACACGGATCGTTAGTAAAACCCGTTGCACGACTTGTACGACTCCGGTCCTACCTTTAAAACCCATCTCTTCGCTGACAAGATTCAGTTTTAATAGTTGACTCGTATGACTCGTACTAGTCGTACCATTTTAAAAAAAACCTCTCCCCAAGTAACCTACGTCATTTTGTCTCTCAGTGATCTCAACCAATCGCAATAAATGGTATATATTGTTTTACAAATCGTAGCGCTTGAATCTCACTTTAACAACTCGTCATTCCTTTTTTTGGCTCTCGTTCCAAAATTTCTCGACGAACTCGCGCGGAAACGCTTGCTACGCAGGCTAACAAAATTGTAATTGCCCCCGCAGGGATTTCGCCCAGAAGGCCAAATCCCGAGGAGGCACTCTGGTAACTCGCGCGTATATTAAGGAAAGTACTTACAGTTGAAATATACAGTCATTCAGTCAATATAGAAAAAATCTCGATTTGCTTGAACAGGGGCCGCGAGGAATCGGTAGGTAATGATGACGTTTCTATTGTTTGCGCCCGCAAGTACGAAATGGTTAGGATGACGTAAAACACAAAAAATCCCGAAGGAACAGCTTACAATAGGTAGATTTTGTGACACTTGTGCAGTCACACTTCGATACTCTTTTGTGTTAAGTGTTATCAGTGACATTCTGTGGAGCAGTTGTTATGAAAGTTATGGACCAAAAGACACTCGTTAAGCCGAGATGAAGTTATAAGGTGCGTAGAACAGTGTATATTTTAATACTAATTGAGTTTGCCAGACACGAGTTCACAAATCTTTGATTGGAAACCTTGAGCTGAACCTTGCCAGATCGCTCTTTCTCTGTCTTTGACCGGAATAAGACTCGGCCCAACACAAGCAAGACGAGTGAATGATTCAACGGCTAGCTTATCACTAGTAGAACGATGGACGATTACAGAAATTCGCCGACCATCANCTCGTTCCAAAATTTCTCGACGAACTCGCGCGGAAACGCTTGCTACGCAGGCTAACAAAATTGTAATTGCCCCCGCAGGGATTTCGCCCAGAAGGCCAAATCCCGAGGAGGCACTCTGGTAACTCGCGCGTATATTAAGGAAAGTACTTACAGTTGAAATATACAGTCATTCAGTCAATATAGAAAAAATCTCGATTTGCTTGAACAGGGGCCGCGAGGAATCGGTAGGTAATGATGACGTTTCTATTGTTTGCGCCCGCAAGTACGAAATGGTTAGGATGACGTAAAACACAAAAAATCCCGAAGGAACAGCTTACAATAGGTAGATTTTGTGACACTTGTGCAGTCACACTTCGATACTCTTTTGTGTTAAGTGTTATCAGTGACATTCTGTGGAGCAGTTGTTATGAAAGTTATGGACCAAAAGACACTCGTTAAGCCGAGATGAAGTTATAAGGTGCGTAGAACAGTGTATATTTTAATACTAATTGAGTTTGCCAGACACGAGTTCACAAATCTTTGATTGGAAACCTTGAGCTGAACCTTGCCAGATCGCTCTTTCTCTGTCTTTGACCGGAATAAGACTCGGCCCAACACAAGCAAGACGAGTGAATGATTCAACGGCTAGCTTATCACTAGTAGAACGATGGACGATTACAGAAATTCGCCGACCATCAAGTTCTGTGCTGACTTATTCCCTGCTCACAGATGTCCTTCCGCTATAAAGTTTCAAATAAGACTAGAATGCGCGAGCGTGAATTTGATCAAACGTCCTTTTAATTTCTAAGGCTTACCTTCCGGCAAATGAAATGAACTAAATGTAAAAAGTGAAAGAAATAGCGAAAAATTAACGTTCTCATTAAATCTTTTCTTATGGTTTAGAATAAACTATTCTTGAAACTGAGAATGATTATGTTTTGATCAAAGCTGTGTAAATCGAACCGAAACTGTGCATGGAACCTTGCGTTTATTCCCTGCATTTATCTCACCTATTGTATGGAATATGTGTGAACATCTTCATTATGAATCGGTATATTTCAAAGAGCTACACAAGGAGCAGTTATCAGTCTAAACATCTTCAATTTAGATCTGATAGGATATATAACATTTCCTAAAGTAGATGCTCTTTGTCGTAAGAATGACAACTGATGTTTTTTTTTGGCAGAGATGTGGAATCTTTAAAGGTACCGATTATTTTCCTCGCGTCACAGCTATATCCATTTTTTTAATCTTAAAAATAAAATCATTGTTGTAAACTTGTTCAGGGTCTCTCCTGGTAAAGCCCAAATAGGGTTAGACTTGCTACAAGTCCCGTCCCGCGCCATATGAAATCCGACGAAGGACTTTTTTGAAAGTCTAAAATAGGGTTTGCTTAGAGCTTCTACCCAGGTATAATATAGTCTGATAATATACAAATTTGAAGGGTGGAGTGATTTTACTTGAACCGTGGAACATAATAACATATAGTGCAAGATAGCAAGAGGTAAACAAAGTAAGCAAAAGAAGACAATGCCTAGGCCCTTTGCAACTAGCCATTCACGTGGTACGAAGCCGCCATGCTGGAGAGCAAGAGAAGCACTGGGACAAGACACACAAAGAAAATTACTATTTAAAACTAGTAATAACCAAAGGTTACGAAGTGCGGACGGCAACGATCGAAGGTCAAAACGCTTTTGCTCCATCACTGGGTGGCCTAGTGTGCGTTGAGTAAGCTTCACTAGAGGAGTAGTCAAAACACGCTTGATCAGATTACGAGTGATAGAAAGTCTAAACGCACGTGATCAAATTGCGTTGTGCGGATTCCATTCTTTCTTACTGGAAGTCCAAACGAATGCTGGCTGCATGCATGCGACGCATGCGTAATAATGTCCTAGAGATTAGGATTGCGGGCTCCTCTTTTCGCCCGCAATTATGTATGCCTTTTGTTTGTCTTGTCACGGTGTGACTTTTGCTCTCCAACATGGCGGTTTTGTATCATGTGAATGGCTAGTTGCAAAGGGCCTAACAATAGTGCGTAGTATTCGACTAGCTTTTTCATGGATTAAGTAAAATCACTTTAAAACGTTGACATCAATAAAGAAAGGTATTGCATGACCTAGTCTGCCCGAGAAATATAGTATCCGAGGAGCTCTTTATTTTTTGTAGTGTCTTTGAGGCCGTAACCCCAATATGACATTTGAGGGTGAATATGTGAATGGGTAATAGATAAATTTAAGAAGTATTTGCCAAGGTATAAAATGACGCAAATTAACAAGTAAGCCAATTGGTTACTGATTTCTAAAGAAACAAGATATATAATGTTGCAGCAAATATAAGTCTTATCGTCGCATTTAAATAAAGGTACAATAATTTGTAGTCATTTTCAATTTCAAGGGGTATACTGAATATTGAGTATTTTGACACTAAATCTCATCTACGGCATTAATTAAAATAAAAAAAAAGTAAACTCCTCAAATGTTTCAGGATTGTTTATGATGTTTTGTCTGTTGTGACCAGTTAGAGCAAAGGTCAGAGCTCGCGAACAAACCACAAAGCCATAAACTATTCTCACTACATATTTTTATTCTTAGCCTGAAACGCGGGAAAGGAGTCCGTCGTGTTAGGCCTGCGTGCTAGTAGCATGATGCATTGCAGCCTCGCTTCAAACTTAACTCTTGGCCAGGGCTGAGTTGTTCAAAGCTGGATTCAGATATTTGAAAACTTAAAAAGCAGTTCAGTTTTAATTCTTTTTGTCTACAAGTTGATGATTGGAAGCTCTAAAAATAACACAGAAAATTATCTGAGAAAATGCTTTTGAACACAAGAAAGAGAACTGAACCCGGGTTTAATTTAACCTCGGCATAAGCGCTGATGGGCCTTCGAACAACGGGGCCCAGTTCAACGAAATTCGGTGGAAGTTACGCCGAAGTTTTGCCCCTCCCAGCAGTGTTGTCAAATGCAGCTGGTAAAATAACCCAGCTTTAGTTGAAGCATTCGATTTCTATTCATCAATAAAAACGGTTTTTACAAAAGCTTGAATTTCCAAATCCAATTTTTTGTCGAATTGAGAAACTTGCTTTTTTCATATTACTGCACTGCTGGTAATTTTCTTCTTTGCTTATGTGGTCGACTAGTTACAACTGTGCAAGTAATCACGTTCTGTCTTACTGAATTTCTTTTTAAAAACTAACGGCGACTGCCTTATCCCGGCGAATTATTGTCATTTTATAGAATAGGGCCCCTTTTTATTTTTGAAACGACTCCAGTTGTTATTAAATTGGAAATGTTAGAACGTTTATGGAAACTTTTGTTTTAATGAGCTGACAATATCATCTGTTTAGAATCTCATCTGCCCTGGAGTAGATACTCCCTTTATTTGCCTAAACGGGCAGGCTCCGCCCGAAAGGGGTACCTTTTTTAGGTTTCAGGTATATAAAAGGGTAGGAATTTACTAGTTTAAGGATATGATAAGGAAGGGAAAAATTGTCACCTTGGTCTGTACAAAGGCTAAAAAAGGACAAACAGAAGCATTTTTATATTACCCGTGAAAAAGTCGCCAAAAGTTTTTGGTTTTTAACTTATTCATATATCAAAGACGGTGCATTAACAGCAGTTTAAAGGGATGCACAGTTCTAAGCTAGGTCAGCTATCCTCTCTTGGCTACGTATGTGAAAGGGGTACCATTTGTTAATAGGAGGTAAACGAGAGGGGTACCTTTACTGTCAAAAATGGTAAAAAGGAGTTAGACCTTTGGGCGGAACATCCCCGTATGATTTTTTTGATCCCCGGAGCTCGTGCATCTGTGGCCTCCATGGGTACGGCTTCCTCGCGTGGTTTAATCAGTCAAGGTGAGTGACAATCGTAATCCACCTCTGGACGCATTGCGCATTAAGGAAAAAAAAAATTTGTTAAAACGCTCAATACGGCTTTTTTATTATTATTTGCGCGCACACCGATAACTTATTGCTGGTAGATTCAGGCTTTAATCTCAACCACCTCCCCTCCCCTGCAAGAGCAACAGTTTATCACATCATCACGTGACCAAATTTTTCATGGCGGCAACATGGCGGAAGTGATGGTGGTGAATGAGGTTCTTGTACTCGCTTTATTGAGCTTTTTGCCTCACTTAAGGTATGTATAACTTCTTTACTTAAAGAAATACAAGGTAGAGCTTATTTTTAGGCAATAGAATAGACTAATTCATGCTTATTCTCCGATCACTTAGCTCGATCACAGTCTCCATCGATGGGTACCCGCGCCGTCACATTTATGTAAATTGAGCTTACATTTGTTTGGAAAATTTTGATTTTCAAGTTCTCTTATTATTCTATCATCTAAATGCAAGCTTTACATCAAGAAAATGTTTCTTTTTTTCTGTTTGAGGCCTTATTTTACGTAAATGAACAAATGGGATACTGTTTATGTCTTGCATAATTAGCTAGTCTGTGAACAGGATCTCTCACCTGATTGGGGAAAAAATAGCGAGGACAGGGAAAGGAAACGGGGGGAGAGAGCCAGGCTGTAGACAAATATTTGAGGCCGCTATTCCGCCCTCTTGTAATTATCCTGCCGATCATCTGTCAATAAGATCGTTATTTGTCAATCAATTTTGCATGTGGAAAAATTAAAGGGAAATGAGCGGTGTTTTGCTCCATCTGAAAACAGAGTGACATGGAGCGTGAGCCTCATTGTCCATTTTGCAAAAAGTCGTTGATCTCCAGTTGGAGAATTAATACAGTGCTGGTCTTTGGCATTTCAAGAAATAAGACCTTTCTGGTTGACAGTGGTCAAGACAGCGTTGTACTAGCGCAAGCATTTGAATCCTTGTGCAAGGAGAAAGGGGCTTTTCTGATTTAAGCTGCTTAACTTGTGTGCGACAGGACGTTCGTCTTGCTAGTTCAGTTTCTAATTTAACAAGCCCCTGCAGTGAGTGAACTTGGAATGCGAAAGGTACAGATACTATCATGACTTCTCCAGAATGTGAAGCTCCCAAGACCAGTACAAAGAGATCAACAGCGTTTTGATCGCCGACAGGAATTACACCTTCGGGCATTTATAGGTAGGCCTACACGACTTAACTCATGCCAAAATGCTGCTTGTTCCCACAAGTTTTTTCCTCTGCTGGCTAGATTATGCCCTGCAAGGTTCTACATTTTCACTGAGCAAATGTGATTTTATCTGCTTGTATCACACTGAGAGGTCATGGCACACATATCGATTGACTGTGGTTTTTGTTTCTGGTCGGCAGAATTTGCCTCTGATGCAAGAGCATTATTTCTCTTTGACCTCTTTTGAAGCATAAAGCCTTTTGTTGCAGCTGAATAAGGGTCTTACTTTTGTCCAAAGTGCCTTCTGGATCTGAATAACTAAGCGATTTTCTTTAGTCTGTGAATGTAATGTTTTTCTGCAATGTTGTATCACACTGGGCCCAGCTCGTTAGTTTTCTTTGTAGAATGTTTAAAAATTATCACTGATAGTGATTTACAGATCCAAAATTACTGCATCAACTATGGAGAATTGCATTGTGGCTCGGTAAACTTCAGCTTAGTGTTTTTCTAAAGATAGTGTGAGTCTTCTGTCTGGAGCGCATAGTTCATGCCTTGGTTAGTAATAGCTTTTGAATAAGCTTATCAGTCTTTCGACTGTTTTGTTATTGGCACTTTGTGATCAAATTGCGTGCTAGTTGCCGACCGAAAAAGCCGATGTCTATCAGACCTGTCAACAGTCAGTGTTCTCACCAATAGGAGCTTGCATCAGGATCTGATGTACAGTGGGTTCTGTGGAACAGCGGTCCCAAATGTTTGTCTACAGGCCTTTTCGCTTTTCCCTCTCCCCAGTTCCTCGCTTGACCAAAGCATATCGTTAGCCTATTGTATAACCGGCCTGGTTGGATCCACTTAAGATGAGAAAGTTTCATTCATTTTATCAACAGAAGTCAAAGTGCTTCTACCTCTGCAGTGGCAGATCCAGATCTTCAGAAAAGTGGGGGTGGGCCCAGTCATCCAGACCCTGCGATAAGGGGGGGAGGGGGGCTGTTAGGTGCCGGTCTCACAAAAAAATTTTTTTCGGCCTGTTCTCAGTCCTTAGCCTCTCCTCTAGATTTTGTTGGGAGCAAAAATATGTGCATGAATGCCTAGTAATTAAAATCTTTAAGTCACTACTTTTATTTACATCTCAATCTTTTCCTTTGAAATTGGTTAGCAGTGCCTCTGCATGTCACATGAAACAGAGGCTTTGGTTAAAATTCCCCTTCCCCCTTAAGCATGGGCACCTAATTCCCTCCCCCCAACACCCTCCCCCAGAGGACTATGGTTATCAAATTCCACCACCTCCACCACTTGGGATGGCAAAGGTTTCAAGCCCAGTTGCATAAGACAGCCACTTGGGTACCCACCACTTATCATATGAAACAGGATGAAACACTTATAAATCAGCTATGGGTACTCTTAAGGTACTCTTTTACAATTTTATTGAATAGAACATACTTGCTGCCTTACAGGGTACAATGTAACTGTCTTAGAGGCTCATTTTAAGGTAGCTTTTGACTTTGTCATAGTTACTTAGTTTGTAAAATGACTGACTCACTTTTATATCTGATGTACTGCTGTAAACTATCAGTAGGTTTATAAGTGGAGCTGTAGATCAACTGAGCAGCTGCACCTGTTTTCTAAGAATTCTCATTTTGGCTTCATGTGCTTCAGTCCATGGTTGTTCGTCATATATCTTCTTAATGTCCTTTTCTCTATCTCATCTTTCAATAATATTGTCCAACTAATATGTTGAAAGGCTCCTCCAAAATTTAATAATACTGGGGAGGGAAGAGTACCAGCAACTGAACAGTGATGCAGATGAAAGCAATGAAAGTGGAGGCAGTTAACTTAAACATGCTGAATTTGCATGATCTTTTGTTTTTCTTTTCATTTTACTTTTTAATTTAACTTACTTTTTAATTCGTTTGTGCAAGTTATGGATTATTTATTCATTTTAGGCAATGACATCGAAGATACCAGAGTGTTCAATCTGCTTTGAACATTACAATGACCAAAGCAAATGTCCTCGGCTTCTGAGTTGTGGACACAGCTTCTGCTCAAGCTGTCTGGAGAGACTTCTCCATGGTAACACCATTGATTGTCCCACATGCAGAAATCCAGGTGCTGTTCCTACTGGAGTGGAAGGACTGTTAAAGAATTTTGCATTATTGGACATTGTGAATGACACACCCAAAGAAAACGTTGGGAGTAACACGGGCTCACATGATTGTGAAGCTTGTGGTGAGAAGCACCCTGTAAATTTCTGCTGCCTTGACTGCAAAGAAAACATGTGCAAAACTGCAGCTCAGTTTCATACTCGCAACAAGGCAAGTCGTGATCATCAAGTTGTCTCCCTTGAGGAACTGGAAGCAAACCCTCAGCTTGCTTCTGTTTCCCTCATATGCCAAAAACACAATGATAAATTGCGGTTTTTTGATGAGAAATGTGGTCATGCAGTTTGTAGGGAATGCGTCGCTCTTGAACACTTTGGTCACTTGTGTTTACCACTTGCTGAAGCTGCCTCAGAGTACGGAAAGGAAGTGAAAGATTTAATAAAAAAGACTAACGTGGAAACTGGATCAGTGGTTGCATATGAACTGGAAAAGGCTCGACTTGAAAAGGAGGTGGGATACCTGCAAGGCCTCCTTAAAAAGGTAAAGTTAAAATAATTATGCGTCGTTTGGGTTACAGTCACTTCTTGTTGCATGCTGCCAAAGTTAGAATTCAATAATAATTTTTTTTCACATTTTTCTAAAACTGAGACTCTCTTTGGGTCTTTCCAATGAAATCAAAGTCACCACAATTGCCATTAATGAAATAACAATCCCTTTAAGAGATTAGTGCAATAATCATGTTGCCATTCAGATCAAGTTTCAAGTTTGACATTTTGGGCAGTTTTGGCTCTTTCTGGGCAAATTAAGTGATCAGAAAGAATAACAAATGGCTGTTCTGGCAGCTGAGGTACATGTACCATTGACAGGAAGAAATAATTTCCTTAAGATGGAAGTTTGAAGGCAGAGTGGATCTCCTCTCCCCTCACACTAAAACTTGTAACAGAAAATGCATGTTCTTAGCTGAAGGCGACAGAGGGTAACAGGCTTGCATCAGTATTCTATTAAAAAAAAGGTTTAAAGGCTTGTTTATGGTGGAAAGTGTACTTAGCTTATCCAGCTAGTTTACAGTGACACTCCACTCAGATACTTAATAGAAACAAATAATTCAAATACAACATAACAGGATGAAAAACCCCAACTGGCAGGAGGCAACCAGTAGCTGTGGATTTGAACTTGGGATGACTGAGAACAAATCCAACAAGTAGCAAGAGTGAGAATAGAACCCAGGACCTCCAGATTGCAAGTCTGACACGCCAACTTCTCCGCCACGCTGCCATTCCGTTACCTTTGCTTATATTCTTTGGAAGGTATTTTGCAGTATACACTTGTATGGAAAAATGATGATTATCCCTGAGTACAATCAAGTTTGATATGGGTTTGTTGGTTCCATGTGGGAATTTACAATGTCCTGTTATATTCTTCTGACATTTCCTTTTATTTTCTGTAGATTGGATTCCAAGCAGAAGAACATGAAAATGAAGTTCAACAACTGTGTCCACATCCAACTGTAGCTTCTCATCAACCACCTCCTCATCGTAGGCAACCATCACATCATCCACCACATCATACACGACCACGGCATCATCCACCGCCTCATCCACCAACTCCCCATCATCCACCACCCCATCGACCCCCATGGCATCATCCACCACCTTGGCATAATCCACCACCTCATCCACCTCCATGGCATCACCCCCCACCCCCTCATCGAACGCCATGTCATCCACCACCTCCCCATCATCCACCACCCCATCGACCCCCATGGCATCATCCACCCCCCCATCATCATCCCCCTCATCGAACGCCATGTCATCCACCACCTCACTGATGGCCATGGTATCCACCACTGCCTCATTATCCATTACCTCATTGACGTCCAGGTCGTACATGCAAACCATCATCATCCACCACCTCATTGACTGCCACTGGCTCATCAACAACACAACTGCAGGTGTCATGATCACCTATATCCTTCACAGAGGAAGTGAGAACATCTTCTTAGTGTTAACAGTGGCCATTGAAAAAATTCCTGAATTGTGATTGGAACAGACCTAAAGGTGTCAGCTCGCAACCCTGCTGTGGTAAATGAACCTAACATCATATACATCTAAGTTAAAAACTTTGAGCTTATACTTTTTATCGTTGAAGACACAAGGGAAGAAGTATTGTTTTGAGTAGCATAATGATAGAGTACATGTAACTACTTTGAGTAGAGTACATGTGACTGAGTTGCAATACTGGAAAAAGCATAGAAAGCCACTCAGGATATAAAAAGGACAAAGTCAGCCTGAAATTACATAATTTTTGTACCTCAACCTGCAGCTAATTAAGTCAACCATGTTTATATTTCTTTGAGATTATAAAAGTATTTTTACTCACTTAAGGTTTTAAGCACAAAGTACAAAAAAGGCATAGTGTGTAAGTTTTGATAAGTTACATGTACTGTATGTTATGTCTGTGTAAGAAAAAGAATACGTTGGACAGGTATACAATACTTTAGTAATATTATTATTATTATTATTATTATCATTATTATTATTATTATTATTAAATATTATTAACATTATTGTTGTTTTTCTAAAACAGGTGAGCATTCAAAACAAATGAAATGGAAAAGGAAAGTCTCCCAAACAAGGAAGGAAAGACATGAAAAGAAGACTGAAAAAAGGAGAAAAGGAGAGGATAGCTAATGATGTTGTTAGAATATAGCAATCCTTTTTGTCTGGTATGCTAGAATTAGATTCTATGGAAATGATTGTTTAAATTATGGTTTACCATTAAGGCCACTGTGCCTCGGCTGGTGGTTTTGGTTGGGTGTGGATACATTTCTCGTTGCAAAGGGATCAAAAGAGAGTTCAAAATATTATTTTCCTGCAAGTTATTTTTCGGGGTACAGTTTTAATATCCAAAGGTTTTTGGAAAACTATCCCTTACTTTCTTTAGCCTGTGAACACAGATGTATTTCTGCTGCAGAGAGAATTAAGCAACAACCAGAAATATGTCTGCGTTCACTGGCTACCACGTCCTAGAATGCAATGAATGATTGTTTCCTTGTTGAAGAGGAATTTCTAAGTGTGAGACAAACTTAAGTCATGATAAGTAATAAATACTTTTGGAGGCGTGTTTGGCCAAGTGGTTAACACCTCGAACTCCTGATTTGCAGTTCTGGGATTTATGCCTGGCCTGTAACTTATACAAGGAACTTTACCCCACCTGTCTCTCTTCACCCAGGTGTAAAAAGAGGTACCGGCAACATAGTGCTGGGGGGGGGAGGGGGGGGGGTAACCCAGCGATGGACTAGCATCCTGTCCAGTAGGAAGTAGCATAGGCGTGCTTCATGCTAAGGAAACCGGGATAAGTTCCGGCTATTTGGGCCTTTGACTCGTCTGTGCCTTTACCTTTTTTTTTACCTTTTAATGAATACTTTGACATAAGGGGTCATCTTTTTTGGGCCTGGGAATGACTGAGGAATCTTCTGGTCCTACCAATAAACGTTTTGGAGAATTTTATCAACCTCCTCACAGTACACAATATGTGAAATAATTTTCTTCAAAGTTGGCTATAACTGCAAATAAATTAAAGATATATGAGGAGTGCAAGCACTTTCAGCAACGTCTGGGCTATACCTCGCGTAACCACTCGAACCAAACTGAACGCTTTATTAATCGAACTTAATCAAACTCTCACGCAAGATTTTTTTGGTTTGATTGTGTTCGATTACCGAACTTAATCGAACGCAAGCGAGGTTTAGCTTATCACGTTATTATGTAATCCTCAAAATGGCCTTGAACATAAAGGTTTTGTATGGAAATTCAGGTAATAAATTTAAGAAGTTAAATACTGGCCGGAATTTTCAATAAAAAACGCTTCGCCTTATTTACTTGGTGTCTTATTTACTTCCTGTGTGGTTATTTTCCCGATCCGTTGCGATTGAAGCAATTTCCTTTATCCCCAGATTCCACTTATAAAGAGGGATTCCAAGGTTTTTTCACGGATGATTTACGTCAGCAAAGCGTCCTGTTTCGGTAGTAAGGTCCTGTTTACATGAAGGTTGGGGACCTCAGATAGGTGAGGTAACATGTGACGGGTCACCCCACCTATCATGTAAACGTGATCAAATGAAAATGAGAGATTATGTGGACAGGCGGGTTATCTCACCTACCTGGGGTCCCCCACCTCCATGTAAACAGGCCCTAAGTTATTTCCACAGAAGATTATTAAACCAAATGAAACTAACCTGTTCGACAAGAAATTTTGAATAAGTGAATAAAAAGTCGATCGTGGATGAGAATAAGCTTGGACGTCAACATTCAAGAGCGCTACAGGCAGCCGTTATCTGAGGATCTAAAAGGGTATTTTCGGGATACGGGATTTGACCCGAAATATAGTGCGGGATTCGGGAAAACGCGAATTTATTGACGGGATACGGGATTTAACTGCTCCTCTGGACGTGGCATGGTATTCGCCAAAATCTTGCCACGGGATTCGATATTGGGAAAGAAAACGGTATTCGGGAGAGAGATTACAGAAGTCCAGGAAGCGGAATTGTCGTAAAAAAAAGGAGTGGAAATGTTGGATCAGGACCGGCACCATTACAGTCGACCCTGTTATCTATGAACTTACTGGAACCCACCCAGCCCACGATATAAATGATGTGCACAATGACTGGTAGATCACCTTACCGGGGAAACGACCACTACTAATTTAAATCATTAGAGTCGGTTCTCTTACGTCCCCTTTGATTGACTTGACCAACGGCTTAACATCTTTGCCCCACTGACGCGATCATCTAAACTGAGACAAGATCTCAAGCTACGGTAAAACGGGCAACAAAAATGTGCAACTTGTTTTGCAGCTGCTGCAAAACGAGTTGAGTGCAGCTCCCCTTCTCATGCATGTATTTCTTGAAAGTGGTCAGTAATAGCTTTCCAATAACACAGTCAGCTCCAGATAATTATTTTTGTTGACTCTCTTTAAGGCGAAAACCTTTCTAAAACGGACACCTAGATTTGGTCCCTGCCGTTCTTCAGTTACTTTTTTTGTCTATCTATAAGGCGGACACTGCCCTAAAACGGACACATAGAGTTGGACTTTGCCGTTCTTCAGTCATTTTCTTTGACTCTCTATAAAGCGGACACCTCCCTAAAATGGACACCTAAAGTTGGTTCCTGCCGTTCTTCAGCCATTTTCTTTGACTCTCTTATATAAGGCAGACACCTCCCTAAAACGGACACCTAGAGTTGACTTAAAAATTTTGCTTGTGGAATTCTGAATCCTAGGCTTCGGAATTTGGAATACAGCTCAAGGAGTCCGGAATACCACTTACGATTGGATCCAGAATCCATGTGCCAAGTCGGATGAAAAAATAAACATATATATCTATACATATTTTTTTCTTGCAATAACTCTTTTTGTCGTGGTAAAAGAATCTGTTACTATAAACAATTATTTATTTCCTAGGTATAACATTTTGAGCAAAAAGGTCTAAGGAATTCATTTGAATTGCAGATGTTTTTTGATTAATATTCAATTATTCATAATTTTCTCACACGTTTAACTCATGAAGAAAATAGCGAACTAACGAAAAATTTTGTACCGTTTTTAGTTTTCTTGGACCAAAATAACGTTCATATCTTTATGGCTGTAACTGAAAACCGCCCAGGAGATGTTTAAAAGTGGTACAACGACCACAGCACGGAGCTGTGATCTCAGCAGAAACTTGTCTTGAGGCGGTTATATTCAACACGTGGATCTGCAACTTTCATAGTAGAGGTAACTAAATAATTACGAACTAAATTTCTAACTGTTTGTAGCACCAAAAGTAGCTTTTGACGCAGTAAGTTGTGTCATATTGACTGTTATAGAACTTAATTCAGCTCCCCTGCGTTCTGCCGGACCTTGAGTATCGGTCAGTCATAAATTAATTTTGACTTTAAATATTTGGACAGGAACCAAAGTCAACAGCCTATACTTGTAAAGTACTTTTGGTTTCCTATTTCAGTTCTAACTCATGGTCGGCAAGGCTTATATGATATACGGTATAAGTGTTTTAAAAATCGGGTTAACGACATCGCTGGCCTCAGTGAAATATATCATGATTTTCAGTATATTGTATACACCTTTTGGGGGTTCAGTGTATCTCAGGGGCACCCAACGAGAATATAGTTCAACCACAAAACATAGCAGTGTTAAACGTATTTCACTATTTAAACGGTAGATAAAGGTATATTTTTATCCCCTAAATTTTTTCATCTGTTCGGATCTCCTAGCTGAAAGTCTAGTGATCCGAAAATTATAGGGATCAAAACTTACCTTTTCGAAAATTTCAGCCAGAAAAAAGGCTCCCGAAAATTCTAGGTGACTTTTATAGGGTAAAAATCCGTTAAAAATAGGCAATTATACCATTTTTTAGGTGTTAGAAAATCCTAGGAGAGGCAGGCAAGCAAGAAATTTTACAACAAATGTTCCGAAAATTCTAAATCTCAAATCGTCTTCCGAACAGATATTTTTCCGAAAATTGTCGTTGGGTGCCCCTGGTATCTATAGG